CTCCCTCACACGGACTGACCCCGCCCCTCAGGCTCCCCCACCTGCTGTCTTACCGTGCACGGAAACCGTGGGCCGGCAATGGCTGCTGGTCCTGCAGCTGACGGGGATGGCAAAGCAGCCGCCTTACCACCACGGGCATCCTCAGGCGCCGGCGGTGGCAGCTGCACAGTAGCAGAGGCGCCCCCCTCCTGCAGGTCGCGTCGCACTGAGTGATGCACAGGAGGCACGACGGGTTCACCAGGTTGGTCAACGGGCAGTGTCATGCGGTGCACCCGTTGTGTGCTCTGTGGTGCACCCTCCCTCACACGGACCGACCCCGCCCCTCAGGCTCCCCCACCTGCTGTCTTACCGTGCACGGAAACCGTGGGCCGGCAATGGCTGCTGGTCCTGCAGCTGACGGGGATGGCAAAGCAGCCGCCTCACCACCACGGGCATCCTCAGGCGCCGGCGGTGGCAGCTGCACGTGTTCTTACAGCATTCTCAAGCGTTCTTACAGCGTTCTCTCACCATCTCTTACAGCGTTCTTACACCGTTCTCTCACCATTCTTAAGCGTTCTTACAGCATTCTCAAGCGTTCTTACAGCGTTCTTATAGCGTTCTCACAGCATTCTCAAGCGTTCTTACAACATTCTCAAGCGTTCTCACAGCATTCTCAAGTATTCTTGCAGCATTCTCACAGCATTGTTACAGTGTTCTCAAGCATTCCGTCCCCCAGCATTCTTAAACCGTTATTAAGGGCGCCTTCAAACAGAGGTATGCCCAACAAAAACCTAGGGCCACCATCTCGCTAGAGCCCGATTCTCACAGCAGACCGCCTTCCCATTCGGGCAGACACACATATGAGGTCCAGGTCCACCATGCCAGCACTTATACCTACAACATATATACAATCACACGCTCGATCCATGCTGGAACTGCATATGGTACTGCAGCATACCAAATGAATGAGTGTTATGATGGATCCCTGAACGCGATCACAAGGCCTATGCTGAGGGGCTCGCAACAAGGCGCATGGACAGGACAGCCCAATAGCCAAGTACAGCCCCACACACCGCCTACACTTCCCACACCTAAGGTGGTTCCTAACAGGGCGTGTATCACTCCAAGTCCACCGCATCCAACTGCTTCTTGCTCAGCCCAGTGGTCCTCATGGCCCACTGGACTGCGGTCATCTTGCCCTTGACTGCGAGCAATCCCACAATGGGCCATCGCACCTGCAGACAGAAGCAACCAGAACAAAGTCAACACATGTGATGCAGACGTGATATCACAGCTCAACCTTGATTTACCTTCTGGAAGAGGCGGAGTGGCCGGTCGTTTAGTGCAAAGGACTGGCCAGTCGGGGGAATGTGCACAGTGCCAAGGTCCTTGATGACTGCCATGGCGCGGCCAATCACCAGGAGATCAGTGCAGCCGTCAGCGGTCTTGTCATCCTGTATGTTCATAGGTGGTAAGAGGCCAGGCGACAGTTACAAGCACGCAGATGGAAGTTCTTTGTTAGGGTACAAACGCATACAGACACACAGCAGACCGCCTGTCAGACAGCGTGTAAGCTTACCAGGTCGCCCAATAGTAATCCAGCCCCCAAAGCCTCGGGCTTGATGTCCTCCTTCTTACATGCTCCAACAAGGAAGCAGCCCTTGGTCTTCCCCACGAGGTCACATTCTTGCAGGTACACAAGGTGCCCGTCAGCAGCTGTGTAGCGTTGCAGCTCTTTGTCATTGTCGTCCAGCAGGGCCTGCCACATGCCCTGGTGAACAGCTGGCAGAGCAGCCCCAGCCCCAGCGTCCCTGTTGTCCCCGCTGGGTCCAGGCTCTGTGCCATTGTCGGGGGCCGCCTCCGGCTGGATGTTTTCAATGGGTGGGCTGCCCTCATCATCATCTTCGACAGCTTTGGCCTTGACCTCCTTCTCGTTGGCCTTGGTGTTCTCCTCCTCCTCCTCCTCTTCCTCCTCCTCAGATGCGTGGCCTGCACGCGTTAGTTTCTAGGTCGCCTAATAGGTATCCAAACCCAGAAGTCCTAGGAGAGCAAGAAATTCCGAGCACGTTGCTGGCCATATGTGGACTATATTATAGTCCACATAAACAATATAGAGATAATCTCTAAAACAATACAGAGATTGTCTGGTGTAATTTTAGTAAACTAAAGTACACTAGATCTCTCTAGGAAATCTTTATTCAAATTGTATATATAAACCCCAAGTTATACTAGTTGTACTAGACCCAATATACAATTTAAATAAAGAGGAAATATTATTAAATAGCATTTTATATAAAAAGAAATAGTTTGATTTTTAGCCCTCGGCGCAGAGCTGTTTCAAACCCCATCGCACCTCCTTTCTTTAGGTGCCGTGTGTTCCTCCACTTGGTCTTAGTGGCGCCGCGCAGCTTATCAAAGACGAGGTCCTCCGTGACCTTTTCGTGCCTCTTCATGCCCACCAGGGAAGCAACTTTGTCAAACCCCCCAAAGTCCGCAACGATCTTTGCCAGGCGCGGCTTCAAGTTCTGCAAAAGCACAAACAACAATGCACTGTGGTGTAGATCTGCGCTAGATCTGGCGGCATGCACTGTGGTGTGGATCTCTGGTTTCTCCCTCTAGGACATGGTGCTTGTTCGATGAAGAATGTCAATCAGTCAGTGGATAGGAATAGATTGTACACCGTGAAACCCCACCCACACACCCACCTCGATGTTTTCGAAGATGCTCGTAGCAAGGAAGTCGTCCCGGAAGTCGTCAAGAATGCGGTCTGTAAGGGTGGTGCTGGTCCTGCAGCAGCGCGTGCTGGACCGCTTGGGCTTCTTTGCACGACCCCCACCACCCCCACACATAGCTGCCAGGCCGGCGGAGCTTGAGCGGCTTGGGCCCCTCCTTCAGGACGGTCACAAGTTGATCTGTGAACGCCGTGGCAGCCTGCCGCCTTGGATCGGTGAAGTCCTCCCCACATAGACCGCCCGCGTCGCAGAGCTTCTCAACCCGCGTTGCAACGCACACCACATCAAGCAAGGTGCTTGCAAGGCTATCAAACAGCGTGCAGCGTCACTCAGCCAGCAACAGCAACAGAGTGGAACCAGCTCTGCTGAGGACGAGCAGGAGCAGGAAGCACAGCAGCAGCAGCAGCAGGGAAACGTACATCCCTAACATGCAGATTGATGACTGAGCAACGATGACTTGAGCTGCGGCAGTTTGCTGAATTGGAGGGTTACGTACTGGGCCGTTGTAGTGCAGGAACTTCACTAGTATGGCGTCCGTGTGTTGTCTTGTCAACACTGGGTCTTCTATCTGTGATTATGTCTTTATGTGCCATAACACGCCTTGAGACATGGGGTTTGGGGTCCACCTACCGGGCACTGAACTAACAAAAAGTGATCTGGATGACCACAGCGATCTGCTTTCTCATGTCTAAGTAGATATTTAGAAAGAACAAAAGAAGACCTTTCCAACGGTGTAATTTTTGGGCGAGGCCCCGGGCGCGAAGCGCCTTCGGGGGGCCGAGCCCCCGGGGTTCACCCCTGTCAGTCAGTCAGTCAGTCAGTCAGTGGCATACATATCTCGCCCCGCAAAAAATAGCATTTGAATGCTATATCCATACTATATTGAAATGTCAAAGGAGACATTCCAGATAAATCGGAGCGCGAAGATAGCTTTCCATGGCTGCGAGGTAAACATAAATTTACATATCACGCTCCGCAAAAGGTTTAATATGGAAGCTATAAGCATTCTATAACGAAATGCCAAAGGAGAAATTGCAGATAAATCGGAGCGCGAAGATAGCTTTCCAGGGGTGCGAGTTTGACAAACAGTTACATATCTCGCTCCGCAAAAGATTGCATGTAGAAGCTATATGCATTCTACATTCACCGGCCAAAGGAGACATTCCAGATAAATCGGAGCGCGACAAAGATGGCTTTCCATGGCTCCGAGTTTGACATAAAGTTACATATCTCGCTCCACTAAAGATTAAATGTAGAAGCTACATCGATTCTTTATCGGTTGGCCAAAGGAGAACATTCAAATACATCGCGAAGATAGCTTTCAATGGCTTCGAGTTTGATTTCCCCTCACGCCGCAGCCCTTGCCTCTGACGTCGTTGCATGTCCCTTACATCTTAGATTCATGATCAAACGGCATGATCCTTTATGGGTTGGTTCGTTCATGCTCGGCAACTTTAGACCGACCCATGGCAACACTCTAAACACCTCCCTCCTGGCGTCTAGCTCGTGCCTGTTTGATTGTTGTCCTTCTTATTCATTCAATCCAAGTTCAAACGAAGTGTGCCTTTGCGACACACCATCAGCTTTGCCGCTGCATTCCGACTTCAAAATGTGTAACTGGAACGATCCCCGAATGTATCCTGGCTAGGAGCGGACAACAATTGGTCCATGAAGCACGGGCACTTTGACGCGCCTTGAACTGCCAGCCAGCAGAAGGGCCGCCGTCGAATAGGGCAGTCCCGCCTCACGGATTTGGCGCAGCAGCGACAACACACGTTGCCGCAATGACACTCCTGCTTTGTGTGTATGTCATTCTACGGATTGCCGCATCATGAAAAGGCTAACCGTTCAGTCAATAATGATTATGTCAAACGGGGGTCATGTGGCTGCACCGGGGCCGAGCCCCTTTTCGGCTTTAAAAAGCCGCCCCCCTAGTCAGGTACAACGGTTGGTCGTACACCCCCCTTCTACAGGGAGCGTGTACCTGCCTAGTAATAGTATCATAGTACTATATTACTATATATAGTGCTATTTCTTACTATACTATACTATTTGGGAAAATAAATATAGTATTTTTGCCAACCCTATAATTGATACATGTATTATGTACGTATGTACGTATGTATGCATGTATGTCTCTTGCGGCGTGGCTTTTTGAGTGGTGGAAGGATCACCCCCCGAACGCGCCACCACTCAGGAAGAAAACTTGAGGAGAGGGTTGCTCTGGCGCTCCTCGAGACGCTCTGACTATCTGCGCTGCCGCAAGCAGATGACTTTGGATTTTGGTTTCGGTTTTTAGTTATATTTTAGTTGAGCTTTTACTTAAGCATACACGTCAAGAGGCAACAACATGGTACATGGTGCATATGGGTTCATGACGTATCATCGCGATCTCGAGTGTTTGATGTTCCCCATTTCCATTTTGGATTATTGGGGGTTGGGCGGGGTGCAGGTGTGCACGACCACATTACACGACCGCATAGCACGACCCATTGCTGATGCTGGCTTTGAGTTGGGTTTTGATCTTGGTTTGGGCACTGGTGGGCCACTGTATGTATTCTCTCTCCCTTCACCGGTGCGAAGAGGTAATGAGGGATGTACACTACAGGGCGGTTTCACCGGAGTCCCCCCGCCCGCCCGCCCGCCGCATGGGCCAGGTACCTACCAGGTGCGTGAGCGGTGGCAGAAGTCCAAGACGCGCAACTGCCTGCCCAGTGTATGAAATGAATTTGGCGCGATGTATATGGTGACGCATGACGAGGTGCGGGTCAGATTGGATGGGTCGAGTCGATGTGGGGCGAGGCAAATGCTGGTGGAGGTAGGGGAGGTACCGGGTTGGCTACTCCTCGCGCGCGGTGTGTGTTCTGTGCGTGTATGTGTATGTGTATGTATGTGCAGTTTTGGGGGATTAGCTGAAAGCTGCACTGCAGGTGGAAAGGGGTGGAGTGCCGTAGCGGAGGGATGTCGATGTGGTGGTTAAGGAGGGGCACCGTCACCCATTGCGTCGTTTCGTGGCATCGCCATCCGTCTTGATTGTATATGAGCGTCAAGGTCCACTGTTGCGCCCCGTTGAGGGGCCTTGCCGCAGTAGATCGCCTCTGTTGTGCTGTCGTTTCGCGGATGTCCTTGCGAGCGTTGGGGCCCCTTGGGGTTGGGAGTGTGGTTCTTTATTGTTTTCTGCATTTGTGGTGTGTCACATATCTCACTCTGCTGCACCACACTTGCACTTTGCGCTGTGCCGTGCTGTGCTGTGCGGTGACCACATTGTGGACTTCCTTCCCGGTGCAGCCCCCCAGGAAAGAGCATTTGGATTCGGGTCTTTGACGAAAGTGCGCGCAATGGTGGTAGTGGTGGTGGTGGTGGTGGTCTCCTGGGGCTCCGGCTCTGTTGCCCGCTGCCCTCCTCGGCTGTTCGTTGTTCCCCCTTGGCTGTGGATGGGGCCGCCAACTCAGCAGCAGAAAGGTCCTGCCAGACACGGGCAACGGACATCCAGCACGGTCCATTTTGCAGTGGTGTCTGTGGTGGCTCCCCTGGTGGGCATGGATTGGTGATTGTATATGGATATGGCTGTTTTGCTACTAGACCAGCACCTACCTGCCTCAGCGACCGGCGGCACACCACCAAGGCGCAGTGCCTCTCCCCCCTTCCTTTCCCATACCCACTTTAAGAATGGGGTGTATAGGAGGTTGGAGGCGACGGGGCTTTGGGTGAAATACCCTACCTACCTCCTGCTGCAGCAGCAGAAGCATAACTGGCGTGGACGTTTGAGAAAGCTTGTGGGGTGTCCTCCAGGCCCTCCAGGCCGCGGCCTAATTCCCTGGTGCTTGGCTTGACTTGACTTTTGACGAAGAAGATAACACGGTGAAGAATGCAGGACGTGCCTCTTTAGGAAACCGCGCGGGCAACAAGGGAGTTGGATCCTCCCGAGGAAAGGGGCGGGCCGGGGGGGGAGATCATCCCCCCGGGGGTAATACAGGGAGTCCACGGATGGTCGATCACGGAACGCGTGTGTGTGTTTCGCGTGTCATCGGTGCATCTGCAGGAGGATAGGCTCCCCCGGCTGAGTTTTGGCCTCAACTGCGGGTCGTGGCCGGAAGTGCATTTCTATGTCGTCCTCTTGAAAGCATGTGTGTTTTTGTTGTCGTATGTATAATTTGGTCGTTCGTACATGGGATCCCCGTGTCGGATGCAATGTGTATGACCACGCATGGTATTGAGAAATGGTCTTCTGATCTACTGAATGTTCTTGGCGTATTGAACACGGCATCTGGGAGCACACACGTGCGTCGAGGTGCATAGTGCGAGCACAATGCAGCGCGGCACAGCGCAGCTGACCTGGCGCGGCTTAGCTTGGCGTTAACGGTTTGTCTCGGCACTTGTGGCACTCCCTACCAAAATGGAAGCGTGCTAAAGAATGTTCCTGAGAACGCTAAGAATGCTAAGAAGGGCTTGAGAATGCTGGCGCTGCTGAGAACGTTCTTATGCCAGTCTCAAGCATTCTTATGACGGTTTTACGAAAGAATGGCTTGGAGAATGCAACGGTGCGGAAAACTTAGCAGAAACACGCACAAGTTACAGTGGTTTGCCCCTTCCATAGTTCAAGCAGGAAACAGAGAGTCAGTCCTGTATTCTGAAATAAGTTCATAGTGCTGAAATCATCCACAAGACCGACCATGAGGGCCCCTACAGCTCTGGACCGAGCGGGTAAGGCCCTTCGAAAACTGGCTGGCACCAGGAAGTCGCCCCAGTATACAAGCGAAGCAGACGTGCCCCAACAATCAACTATCCAACGAAGGATTTAGTCAGTCAACGTATGGAACGGGCCCCAAGCAATTTCTGTCGATTTGCATAGTAATGTGCCACTCCCATTACCTATTACTTCACCAATATGTCCCTGTGCACAACATTCATTCGGTTATCCATCAGTCGTACCATCAGCTGTACCTTCATTGAGAAGCCCCGCCCACCCTAAGGCACTGATTGGGTCGGTAACCCATGGGTTACCCATCGGTTACCCACCTTCAACCCCAAATTTTAGTAGAAGATTTAGAACTATGTATGTATTCAGTTTTAGCGTTTGTTCCCGCTTTGAGGGCATGAAACTCCCGAATAAGATTATTCATTCGCATTCATACAGTTCGAAGT